CGCTGGGGGCGCCCAGCCCCGCCCCCCCCGGTGCAGCTCTGGTCGAGCATCTCCTGCGCAGGGAAGGGGCAGACGCCCCCCATCACCCCTGGACCTGCGCACCTCGGGGACTCTGGGCACTCTGTATAATACGTTTTGTTAAATTAAACCCTACCCCTGCCGCCTCCTCGCTGGTACCCACTGGCACCTTTTCCCCGCGGGGTGCACGGCCGCCGCTCCGCAGCGGGGCTGGCAGCAGGGGGGCTGCACCCAGACCGCGGCGCCGGGAGCTGGCAGGGACGTGCTGGGCTCCAGGTAAAAACAGAGACCTCTCCTCCAGGGGCTTTATTGGGGAGCAGCTTGGCCCTACGGCTCCCCTGGCCGAGAATAAAGGCACGAGGATCCCCCAACGCTCCGGGGTCAGGCGGTGTTTGCGATAGAGAGCAGAGCCTCGGGGCGTCACGCAGGGATTTGGGACTGGCCCAGATGGGATCCTGCTCCGACCCCCTGTGCCCGACGGGCAGCGTGCGGCTGTCCCATGGCAATGGGGGACAGCGGGCAGAGGTGCCGCTCACAGCTCGTTGTGCAGCGTCCGGCACGGGGGGCTCAGTTTCTCCTCCAGGACGGCGTCGGGGGCGCACACCCAGGGGTCGCCCGTGTCCCACTGCCACTTCAAGAGCTGCGTGCGAAGCTGCTGGAAGACGGCGGCGTAGCGGGGGTCGGGGGCCAGGTTCTGGCTCTCGGTGGGGTCGAGGCTGCAGTCGAAGAGCTCCCAGCGGTCCCTGTAGTAGTACTGGTGCAGGGTCTTGTTCCAGTGGGTTGGCTGCCCGGCCCTGCTGCGGTTGAGCAGGTCTTGGAAAGTGGGCGAGACGTAGAAGTCCTGGTCGATGGGAAAGGGCATCTTGTAGTTGAGGTTGTGAATGAGGCGGAACTGGTGGTGCTGGACGGCTCGCATGGGGTAGTACATGGTCACCTCGTGGTGGCTCTGGCTGCTGAAGGTGGTGGCCCAGGGCTGCTCCGATTCCAGCGCTGGCAGGAGAGACTTTCCGCTGAGCTGTACCCGCTTCGTGACAAAGATGCTGTAAGATGGGTAGGGGATGGAGAACCAGTCCAAAATGGTGGGCGTCAGATCTGGAGGGGAAGAGAAGGGTGAGCGGAGGGGCTGGTGTCCGCAGCAGGAAATTCGGCCCTGGCGAGGGGCAGAAAGGACCCCGGGGTCTGCTGCCGCGTGGGCTGCGGGCGGTGCTGGGATGAGGTGCAGAGCTGAGCCCCGGGATGGGGATGGCGACCCTGCGGGGGACCCTGCTGCTCTGCCGTCCCTCCTCTCCCTTCCCCGGGCCGGCCGTGGCAATGCCGAGCGCTGCAGGCTGGCCTCC